GTGTTAGGGAACTACTGATCTTCATGCCATGCCCTAACTTTATGGATGAGGAAACAGAAGCCCAGAGAGGTGAAGTGACATGCCCAAGGTCACACAGCAGCTGGGATGCCTCATAGCTATCTGGGGAAACACCCCTGGCTGTCAGAGACTTGTGCTGTGGCAGTACAGGTGCCTTGGGCTCTACTTCCAGCCATTTGCCCTTGAGCCACGTTTTATCTTCTTTCTACCTTCTCCATTTCTCTAAAATGTGAACAATAATCACCCAACTTCCCCCATCCCCAAGGAAAGGAGAGCTTAAAAAGTGCCCCGGAGATGCATGCAGAGGCATTACTGAATGAGTATTAGAGATAAAATACCCGATGTCTGCAGTTTACTTGAAAGCATTTCAATCAACAAAAATAGATGAAGCAAGTATGGCAACATCTTAACAACTGTTACATATAGGTGATGGGTCTTTGGGTGGATATTCATTATGCTAGTCTTTCTACTTTTCTGAATGCTTGAAAATTGTCATCATAAACATTCCCTGATAAGAAAAGTGAACTGGCAAAGCAAATGGAAAGGATGGTGTTACTTACGGAGAAGAGGTCCTTAGAGAGATCCAAGTCCTGGGCTCAGCGGCTGGGTGGGACCGCCACCCCGAGAGATGGAGCAGCTCGACTTCAGCGGCTTTGGGCCATGGTCAGGAAGTGGCTGGGTGAGGGGAGCCTGCTGTCCTGTCTCAGTGTAAGGCACCATCTGACAGACCCAGCGCTGCTGCAGCTGCGGGCACTGAGGCCAGTAGGGGCTACTGTGGCCAACTGGTGTGGGGTCTTATGAATATGCAGATAGTGGCCAGAGCTGGTTGGCTGTTCCCCTGCTACCTCCCACACCACCCCAACTCAGGTGCCCAGAAAAGCCAGTTCAGAGAGGACCTTCCTGAAATGCCATCTCTTTTGTCCTTGCCTGGAGGCTGAATTACCCAGCTTCTCCCACTACTCTGGCCTCCAGTGAGGAGTCCGGGCCTCTGCTTCCGAATGCCCCCGCAAGGCAGCTCCAAAGTGAATATCCTTCTCCCCACCCCTCAAGAATTCTGAAGATACTGGGACCCATGCAGCACCACAGTGTGGCATCTCAGCTCGGCAGGAAGGTCCCAGACACTGTTGGGAAGACTGGTTGCTGAGCCAAAGGCCGCACTCCTGACAGGTGGGGAGGACTTGCTTCCAAATCCATCCATCCCTAAATGTCACCTGATTTTGCCACCTTCTCCTTGTTTGGCTTGGGACATAGAATGAATGCTGTGAAATACAGCAGTGAAAATCAACAAACTACAGTTCATCGACTTGGGTAAATGTTCAAAATATTCTATTAAGTAAAAGAAGTAAGTCACAGAATGATACAAGCATGGTGATTCCATTTATATTATGTTTTAAAAACAGGCAAAGATAAAAACTTGTCTAGATTTTCTTTGTATATCCATCTATCTATTATTTTTAATGACAACTGAATGGATAGATAGATAAATGGACTCTAGGTATCATGGGTGATGCAAAGTGACTATAGGGTATAGTAGTCCCTGTTTTGGAACCCTGGTGGCACAGTGGTTAAGTATTCATTTGCTAACCAAGAGGTTGGCAGTTTGAATCCACCAGCCACTCCTTAGAAACCCTATGGGGCAGTTCTACTCTGTCCTATAATCACTATGAGTCGGAATCAACTTGATGGCAATGGGCTGGAGTTCCTATTTTAAGGAGCCCAGAGATAGTAAAGAAGTCCAATCCACCATTTGGTCAATAATACTCACAAATGTATAAGCAAGGATGTGAGTGCATAGTTCAGACAACATATACAAATGTTGGGGGATTTGAGGTAAGGCAAGAGAATGCTTATATATTATTGAGGGTGAGCTGCCCACTCTGGTGTTTTGTTTTGTTTTAAGGAACTGAGACACTTTTTCTTTCTAAAAACAGAAAATTTTTTCTTATATAACTTGAAAGTAAATACATCTTTTTCTCAATTTGAAAGGCAAAACTGTATAGTTTAGGACACAGATATTGAAGCTATAATGAGAGCAAGGAGGTGGTTAATATGTAGTTCAGGATTAAAAAAAAAAAAGTGGCTGTAGAGTTGATTTCAACTCATGGTGATCCCATGTGTGTTAGAGTAGAATTGTGCTCCACAGGGTTTTCAATGGCTGATTTTTTGGAATTAGATCTCCAGGCATTTCTTCTGAGGTGCCTATGGGTGGACTTGAACCACCAACCTTTAGGATAGCAGCAGAACTTGCATTAATCATTTGCACCACCCAGGGACTCCATAATTGAGGGTAAAAAAACAAAAGCAAAAAACCCACTGCCGTCTAATCAATTGCAACTCATAGTGGCCCTGTAGAACAGAGTAGAACTGTCCTGTAGGGTTTCCAAGGCTGTAAATCTTTACGAAAGCAAACTGCCACATCTTTCTCCCGCAAAGAGGCTGGTGGGTTCAAACCGCTGACCTTTCAGTTAGCAGCCAAACGCTTAACCACTACGCCACCATGGTGCCTATAATTCAGGATAGTAGTGGTTAACTCTGGAAAGATGACCAAGGAGGGCCACAGTGGGCTTTTCTGTTTCGTCAACTGGACGGAGAGTATGGTTATTTCTTTTATTATTCTTTTAAAAAACATACACATGTAAGTATACACCCTTTTGAATGTATATTTCACAACAAAACTGTTTTTAATTCTCTTTGGAACCCTGTGACAACTTGTATTCATAAACACCCGTCCCAAAAGACCATGTTGCTGTATCCTGTGGGACTCTAAATGCAGAAGATGGTGAGAGCTTACTAGGTTGCCCTTTGAACTCCACTGAGGCTCATATGTGAATCTCAAGGAAATCAATTTCAACCTTTATCCTCTGAGAGAGACGTTGCATGCTACCATGCGGTTGTGTGTGAGTGTGTGTGTGTGTGGTGTCTAAGACTGTAAAATCTAAGATTCACTTGGGTGATCACCGAAACTCCAGGAGATGTGCTTTGCCACATTATCCAGGCTTGAGCTTCTAAATCCTAGATAAGAATCTAAAAAATCAATTATTAAAAACTGTGAGAGAATTAAATAGCTATCTAAGAAATATTAACAGCAACCCTGGCAAGAGGTTGTCATAGCTCCTGATTACTGTTCTTGAACTCTTCAGCAGCATCCAGAAGTGCTGAGGCAGGGAAATATTTAGTCATTTCCCAAATGTTTACTGAGTACACACAAGGTACCAGGCACTGTGTTCTGTGTTGGGGATTCAGGAAAATAGAATCATCCCTTTCCTTCTGCAGCTTGGCCCAGTGGAGAAGAAAGATAGGTAAACAGGACATTACCACACAATGCAGAGATACAGACACAACGCCTTGGAAGCACTGTAAAAGTTAACTCGGTTAACTCTGTCAAAGGGGATTAGGGAGAGATTCAGAAAGATACTTAAAGGATAATTATTAGTACCTAGGCAAATAGGAAGGTGGAACAGCCCACACAAAGATGTGAAGGAGTGAAATAGCACATTGCGGGGATGGCTAGTAGTGCTGTATGACTAAAGCTCTGGACCTGTGAGAAGTTAGTGGCAGAGAATCAAAACATAGCCAGAGGCTAGATTATCAGGTACCTTGTCAAACTGAGAAGTTTGGACTTAATCCTATGGCAGGGAGACGCTATTGAAAGACTTTAAGCAGGGGAGTGACAGGATTAGATTTGCAGTTCAGAAGGAACTTTGACACTGGTGTGGAGTATAGGCTGCAGAAAGTGAGAGACGAGGCCCAGAACCATTTAGGAAGCTTTTTAAATAATCCAGGTGAAGATTGCTCAGGACTTGACTGAGGGAAGCACAGGGCAAAGATGCTTTCTCTATTTCTAGTTAGAGCTTCTGCCCACCTCTAGAATTCCAGTGGCTGTGCTTTCAGGGTTTGGGTGAGTGAAGGCACGGAAAGGTCCTGAGGACTAGGTAAAGTGATTCAGCCAAAGAAACCAGCATGATTAGGCACTGGGTCATTCATTCATTCATTCATACATACATTCTTTCATTATTAATTCAGCCAGAACCTTATAGAACACCTTTTTTATTAGGAAAGTGAGCTATAAAGGTGAAGACTCAGGGGCCTGACGACTTAAGGAGGGGGGAAGTTAAGGAGGGAAGGCAGGGCAGAATGGTATGCCTAAAGCTGGGAGGCCCAAATTCATCCCACAAGTATTTATTGTGCACTTAACCTATGCCAGTCTCTGTTCTAGGTGCTGGGGAGACAGCAGTGAACGAGATAAGATTAATGGAGTTTATATTCTAGGGGTGGGGTGACAAATGACCCACCAAAATGCACAATATGTGTGGGGAACAATTAGTTTGGCTGGAGAGAGTTTCGATAGGGATTGGGGAAGATTGGGAGATTTCATTGCAGAGGTAAGGCTAGTTGGTGAAGGTCTTTGGCTTGGTAAAAGGCAATAGGAGCCTTTTAAAGGTTCTTTGGGGTCCTGGTTGTATCTTTGTTTCTGGGTTAAGGTGGAAGGGATGTGACAAATGGTCTTCTTACCACTGAGGAACGAGACTCAGGAAGGCTGTGTCACCTGCTCGAGCCCACACAAATGTTAAGACCAGAAAGGCGTATCTGCCAAGTGTCGAGTTCAAAGCCCGTGTCCGCCTTTCGCCTTTTTCCCGTGGAGCAGAGGCGGAATGGCGCCACGCCCGGGGGGTCCCAGGCAAGGAGGGCGCCGCGCTCAGCGTCCAGCTCTGTGGAAATGTCAGGGAGGGCTTGACCCGGGGGCGATCCGGCACCGGGCAGTCGTGGGCAGCTTCGGAGGACCGGCCCCGGCGGGCGGGCAGCGCAACAGGCTCGAACACTCCACGGCAACCTGCCGGTGAGCGCAGGCCGCGGGACTGAGGCAAGGATGCCCTGCGCCGCCCACTCGCCAGCCAATGGTTCGCTCCAAACACCCCTCCCCGCGAGGCAGGTGCCGCGGCCCGCCCCACTTCCGGTTGTTGCAGCGCGCAATATCCGGTGTCCGCCCGCCCTCGGCTCCGCCGCTGCGTCCGCGATGCTATCCCGGTCTCGCTGCGTGTCCCGGGCGTTCAGCCGTTCGCTCTCCGCCTTCCAGAAGGTACAGTCCGGCCGGGCCAGGGCCCCAGTGGGTGAGGAGCCGCCGGCGGGCGGACAGGCTGCCGGGGTTCAGGGGCGCGGCGCGCCGGCCAGGCCGGGCACCAAGGGCACCGGGACGCGGAGGCCGCGGGCTGAGCTGCTCGGGGCCGCTGTCGACCTCAGGACCTCGTTTGGATGACTGCGAAGCTCGGCGACCTCTCGCCTTCCCAAGGCAGCCCGCGCCGATTTTCCCCTGGTGCACCCCACCCTTCGCGCCGGGCTCGGGAGCCACGCGAGCCGCGCCCGCCCGGACACGAGACTGAGAGTTCGGGTGGAGGCGCCGCGGAGTCCCTCAGCGGGATGCAGGGACCCGTCTCCTCTTGTCTGTTAAAGACAAGGGATGTCAGCGCCGTTGGGAAGTTGAGATAGTTTGACAGACCCAGTGTGCTATCTAGGACCACGAGCCCTGGGTGTTGCATTTATCTTTTGGAGTCACGAGATACACCTGTCACCAGCACTGGGGCAGGTTTTGAGTCTGTTCTTAAGAGAAAATCGTCACTACTATGAGTTTGAATGGACTCGACGACAGTGGGTTTGGTTTTGATTTTTTAAGAGAAAAGTCTGGAGCCCTGGTGGCGCAGTGGTTAAGCGCTCAGCTGCTAACTGAAAGGTTGTTGGTTCAACCCAACAGCAGCTCTGCGGGAGAAAGATGTGGCAGCCTGCTTCTGTAAAGATTACAGCCTATGGGACAGTTCTGCTGTCCTATCGGGCCCTGGTGTTGCAGTGGTTAAGCATTTGGCTGCTGACCAAAAGGTTGGCAGTTTGAATTCATCAGCTGCTCCTTGGAAACCCTATGGGCAGTTTTACTCTGCCCTATAGGGTCGCTATGAGTCAGAATCAACTGGATGGCAATGGGTTTTTTTTTTTTTTTTTCCTCCTTGCATGTTGGGTGACTTCGATAATGTCCTCTTTCTCAACAGGGGAACTGCCCTCTAGGGAGACGTTCCCTGCCTGGTAAGTTCTGCCCTTGCCCTGGCCATCACCTAAAATGCTCTCCTCCTGGCACATCAGTATGCGAGGAAAATCAGGGTGGCTGTGTTTCTCCTTGTAATGTTCAGAGACAGTTCAGTGCAGATAGGTGTGAAACACAATCTGAGTTAATAAAGTCGTTTAACCCTCTTACATGCTGTTTAATAATAACAGCTATTACTTATTCAGTCAGTGCATAGTTACTGAGTGTGTGTCAGGCACTGTGCTAGGCACTAACTAGGGGTAGAGCCGTGAACAGTTCTTATCTTCATGGAGGTTACATTCTAGTGAGAAAGACAAAGTGTAAAGTGCTAAGCATAGGAACAGTTACAAACTTCAGTAAGTGCTGAGAAGGAAACAAATGAGGGTGGATAGAGAAGTCCTCACTGAGTAGGTGACATTAAAGCTATGACCTGGAGAATGTGACAGAGCCAGCAGGAAAAAGAAAGGGAACAGAATGTGTAGAATAAAATCTCTGGGGAAGGAAAGAGCTTGGCAGTGTTTAGGAACTGGAAAAAAGGTGGTTTGGCTGGAGCATTTTGGTTAAGGGGGAGAGCGACATGAGATAGAGGATGGTATCCAGACTTTTGGAAGGAGTTTATAGAGTTTATCCCAGTAATTTTTTTGGGAATCATTAATAATGTATTTTATGTGGTTTATTTTATATTACATGCTTGGCATAAATACTTGTTCAATGAGTGAATCTTAACTATGTTGCTATGGGCTTTCTGTGTGCCAAGCATTGTTCTGAGTGTTTTTTCTGTATTTTCAGTTAATCATCACAGAACAGTAAGAGAGATTATCTCTGTTTTACAAATTCATAACTGAAGGCTCAGAGAGGTAGCCTACTTTGTCCAGGGTCAGTCAGCCAACTATAGTCAAACCAGGTCTGCCTGACTCCAGAGCCTGAACTCTTAACCACCATGTTATCATTTACTCATGTAGTCAACAGGTAATTTATTGAGTACTTACTAGATGGCAAGCACTGTGCCAAGTGACAGGGATATCGATGGCCTCTGCCCACATGGATCTTACTGGCTAGCTGGAAAGACAGAGTGTAATTTGCATTTATGCCCACATAAAGACATAATTACACTGTGATAACTACAACAGAAGAGAGGTAGAGGTGAGAGGGTGGATGATGTAACGGAGCTTGGGAGGGTGGGAGTGTGATGGAAATGTCGGTAAAGCCTCCCCTGAAAAAGTAACATTTAAGCTGAGACTCAGAATAAATAGAAGTTAGCCAAAAGAGCAACATTCCAGGCAAAGGAAATTGCTTGTGCAAAGGTTTTCAGGCAGGAACGAGCTTGATCGGTCATAGAAATAGAAAAGAAGCCTGTCTGGTTGGAAAAATAGGCAGAGTTGGACGGGACAGGGCCATGTAAAGATTTTGGACTTTATTCTAAGAGTTATGAGAATATAAGGTGCCTAGCAGAGTGGCAGCTTATAGTGGACTCTAAATAATAAACGTTCTTTTCAACTGGGAATCCCAAAAAGAGCCAGGAAACATTTTCTCCATTTTATAGACTAGAGGACAATGGAAAGAGCCTTGTAGATGGGGTTTGCGTCCTGGCTCAAGGTTTCACTTTGGGCTAGTCACTTAACCTCTGGATGCCCTATTTATATACGAAATGGGAATAATGGCATATGGTCGTTCCACTTCAGAGAGATGTCAGACTCGAAAGTCAAAATGAGGTCATCAATGTGAAAGCTTTTTATAAACCTTAAAGCACTATACAGATGAAACTTGTTGCAGGATGAACTCTGTATTTGACTCAGGATTCCAAAAATCAGTGTGGGCTGCTGGCTGTTATAGTTCAAAAGACATGCTATGCTGAGATTTACACTGCAGAATACTGGCTGCTAGACATAGGTGGTTTATCCAACAGGCAAAGTAAGCATGGTGCTTACCAGATCATCTGTAGTCAGCAATTTCACATTTTTTCATCACATCAAAGATTCCGCTTCTAGATACGGCTGGCACCTGTCTCTTTCCCAACCCCACAGCACCTTCCTGCAGAATCAAAGACTCCTAAAATTTACAGTCCCTGACAGGGATGGATGACCCATCCTTGTCAGGGATTGTAAGCAAGGTAAGTATGGGCTTACTTGTGCTAACTCACTAATCTCTAGTGAACAGTTTCACTAAAGATGGTCTGGTAAACAGGGTAAGCACTGTGCATACCTTGCCTATTGGATAATTTGCCCCTGCATAGGTGGCAGACTTGACTCTGAAATCCTAGGGGTGTTTGTTAGGAGGTGGACACAAGAGAGCTATGTCTCCTGTTTGGTGCCTCCTGAGCGTATAGTTCAGAAAGAGCTGTTAAGGTCTGAAAAACAAAACAAAACAAAAGACATGAAAGAATATACGGAACAGCAGCTGTAGCAATTAGTCATTAGTTGGAGAAAAATAGTTAACCTGTGATAAAGACAGTTGGTGGGACAGAAAGGTGGGAAGGCAATAAAATGATTTGATTAGTCCTAGGACAAGTTGGAGACCCTGGCCCTAAAGTATCTCAGCCTTTGCTACTAGGGTTCAGACAATAAGACTTCCAGCTCAGTCCATTCAGTAACTGGGAAAACAGAAACCCTGACCAAACATCCCCCTGCTTCTCAAATTAGGTTATGTGTAGTCTCAGGATAAACCATCACATGTCTTTTTTAAGCTTTAATTGTATTTAAAGACTTGGAGAATGGAGACATTTTATTATGAAAGTATATAGGGATAAAGCAAAGGTTGTGAATTTTTATGCTAAACAGGATTATAAAACTGCTTTGGGCTGTGCTCCCATATTTCTCCCCAAACACATACTCACGCTCAACCCCACATTAGTATTGCCTTCTGCTGTTAAGTCTACTTTAGTGGAAAAGTTTGAGAAGCAGAGCTCTGTGTGATCAAGATTATATCATTGTCTGCTATTGATCCTGTGCTCTCAGATCTTTTCCATTCCCAGCAGGTACCTTTTATAAGATGAGGGTTGCTGGTTAAGAGTTGTTTTGTTTCTTGCAGGGGTCTCGTTATGTCAGGGACCAGGTTACCCTGACAGCAGGAAGACTGTGTAAGTATCACTGGGGAGCACAGATACATGACTGTGGGGTGTTTACAAAGATACCAAATTTGACCATCTGATTTCTTCCCTGGCCTCTTGGCCTAGAAATCAAGGTAGTTAGTGGACAGACCTAACCTTGATGTTCCTTTTTTATGTGTAATGTACCTTGAACATCAGTCCCATGTCAGGTGTTGAACCAGGAGGATGCCTGTCTTTGTCAGGTGTTTATAATGAATGTTAAATTGGGACCCTCTTTTATGGGAATAGATAATAAAAGGGTGCTGCTAAATATTCTAGCTGCATACAAGTGCACCTGAAGTACTGAAGGTTACATTTATTGTAGAAATTGAGAGCATCCTCTTAGTAGCATAGTTATTCGTTTTAGAAGCAGTAAAAGCGGAAGACCAGTTGGTTGAGCCTGAGACTGACTAGTTTGGAGAGAATATTATTATTTTGTAATGCACAGTCTGGAGAAAGGCCACCCATGTGAGTTTCAGATTAACTTCTGCTTATGAATGTTGCTTAATGCTACTTTGCATTCCAAGTATTTTCAGGATGGTAGTAAGAGGATGCTCTTTAGTAACCTGTTTGAAAAACAGCTGCCAAGCTACTTTCTCTACACAACAGTCTTCAAAGTGAAGAGTCAGCAGAGTAGCTCCTTCCTCACTGTGCATCACAATGGGATTTTTTTTTTTTCTTGAGAAAATTATGCACTCAGTACTAGAAGTATGATCTGCAGTGTTATTTTTGGAGGGCAGTTTGACAATCAGACATCTTTGAGCTATGTATACCTTTTGATCTAGCAATTCCATTTCTAGGAATCTATACTGAAGAACTGATAATACACAAATTTTGCTAAAAATGGCCAAACTACAGGGTATTGGTTTAGCTATGCTATGTTAACATGTTCACACTATGATAAGTGGAAAAAGGCAGGTTACAAAATGATTCCATTTCATACTGTATAATCAATCATAAATGTACTTTTTGCTATTGCTAAATATTCTACAGTAAACATCTAATACGTTTATCATTTAAAAAAATATTTAGAAATTAAATGTAGTACTCCTCTGCAGTTAAAATGAAAATTGGAAAAACCACAAATCTTTGTGCAATAAATACTAAAAAATAACTGTTTGAAAGTAAATTATTAAGATAATTAAATTTCATTTTAGCTCCACTAGGGCTCCTAACTAAACTTTAGGGGAGGGAAAATCACTGCTAATTTTATCACCCTAATCTAATATCTGGAGCCCTGGTGGTGCAGTGGTTAAGAGCTACGACTGTTAACCGAAAGTTCGGCGTTTCAGACCACCAGCCACTCCTTGGAAACCCTCTGGGGCAGTTTTAGAACTGTCCTGTAGGGTCAGTATGAGTCGGAATCAACTCGACAGCAGTGATTTTTTTTAAATATCTGGTTTTTTTTTGTGTATTGCCTTTTTTTTCCCTGAATAAGATACCCATTTTATTTTAAAAATCTTTTATTGTAGGTTCGGGGTTTTTTTTTGTTTTTTTTTTTTAATTTCATGTTTTTATCTGATAGGTGATACGTTTACGTGCTTCAAAAGGAAAAAGTATCCATGTTTTTAAATCCTTTTCCTCTAGCTCTACCGAATTCCTCTTCCCAGAGGCAGCCAGTGGCCTTAGTTCTTGGGTATCGTTGCGGAGAGGTCTGCATTTGTACCTTACCCATTAGTTCTTGCCACGAGCATATACTTTTACGTGGTTACAGACATTGTGCAGAACATTCTGTCTTCCGTATTTATTTCCCCATAACATACATTTTTTTTCTTTGATTCTACATAGACCTTACAGTTATTTTGACTTAAAAGTAAAACTAGCAAAAGGCAACTTAAATTTGTTTAGCTTTTCTATTATGAAGGTAATGAATGCTTGTTGTAGAATATTCAAACAATCCTGAAGTGTAGAAGGTGAAAGTACCCATCAGTCCAAATCATCCCTCATAAAAAATGTGTCTATATGTGTATGTATGTACAGGTGCCCGTAGATACCTGTATATATCTACATCTCCTGCTCCCCAGAGGTAACCACTGTTAATGGTTTTGTGCATAAAAGGTGATACTGTGCTCCCATTTACGTTATTTAAAGTAAGTGCCATATCAGAAAATGCCTTGGCCTTTTGAGGTTCCTCTTGAATGAGTCCAGAATGGACTGATGTGCTGCCTCTTAGCAAGAGAACAGAATAGGAGATACTGTGTGTTTTTTTTTTCCATGTAACACCTTGTTTTACTTTATTTCCACGTTAACTGTCTCACCTTGCTGCTTTATCTGATCTAATATGTAATCCTGAGGATGGAAATTCCATTGTACTCGGCACAACGCATGTACCCCGAGGGCACGCAATATATCTTACTTGGAATATAGTTAATTAAGAAAGAAACCTGGTTGGGAAGCTAAGTCCTTTTGGTGGGTCTGCAAAGGACCAGGTTGCTTACATTTTTCTTCAAAGAACTAAATGTAGGTCTCTGTGTTTTGTGAGAGCTGACATTTCAGTGCAGCACTTTGTCCTGGACTCACAGGAGGAGTTCACTGTTTAAGGCACCCAAGTCACCCAGGCTCCACTCTAGACCTGCTGAGTCAGAACTCTGGGGGTGGGGCCTGGGTATGTGTGCTTTAAAAAGATGCCCCCAGGTGACACTAGTGGGCACCCCTAATGATGAATCCCTGATTTAAAGAGACAGCAACCCATGGTACCTGAACTAGAATAAAATATGAGTGGTTCACATGCTAATGGGGTTAACCTCTCTGTTTTGTTTTTGTAGCGTTAACAGCAGCAGTGTCCTCAGTGTTCGCTTCTTCAGAACTACGGCCGCATGCAGTGAGTATCTGCCTCCAGCTCCCTGCCTTCTTGGGAATGGAGTTTTAATGAGAAGAGCAACACTTGACTGAGTTTGATTAAAGAAAAAAAAAGGGAATACTTGTGATTTTCTTTTTTGCTCTTTTCTAGAGGATGATGTGATTACAGTCAAAACCCCGGCGTTTGCAGAGTCTGTCACAGAGGGAGACGTCAGGTGGGAGAAAGGTAAGATTTCGTGCCCTCTCACTTCTTAAGTTTAAATATTTTCTAAAAGTCCTCCCTCCCCCAAGATAATCAGTGGACCTTATGACTCCACCCTATTTCCTACATACAGTGTACTTTCTCTCGGCCCTGTAGGAAAAGCATTTTGTAACATACCTGCCAAAAGGGGTTTATTGGCTACTATAGGCTCCCTCCTAATAGGTAGCCTTTGACTGTCTTTTCAGCTGTTGGAGACTCAGTTGCAGAAGATGAAGTGGTTTGTGAGATTGAAACTGACAAGGTAGGCTTGTCCTATCGTAGTGGCTGTTCTTCATGCGCTCCCTTTGGCTTCTTCCCCTGATGAAAGAAACAGGAACTGTTGTTTAAAGATAATTTTTAACTGGCTCTAACCTCAGCCTGCACTGAGGTGGGAATAGCTCGTTAAAAAGGAAAAAAAAAAAAACACTTACTTTTGGATTATTTTCGTGGATGTACTTCTGTAGTTTTAGTTTTATAGCTTTTTAACTTGTAAAGCAACTTATTTTGCATGAGCTGTTTCCAGTTATTTTTCATGTATCACGTGACAGTACATTAAGTGAGTATTGCTTTAATTTTTCAGAAGGAACAGAAAGGGTGACTCTTCACAATAGTGTTGACTTGCTGTCACTCTGAGAGTATAGGCTTAAGTTTCTTTGTGCAGGGTCTTACAATCTATTTTGCAACTCTTGTGACTCATACTTGAGATTCTATACATTTAATTTTCTAATGCTGACTAAAAGTTTGAACTCTTTCTCATAAATCTGTCTTCCTTTTACAGACATCTGTGCAGGTTCCATCACCAGCAAATGGCGTGATTGAAGCTCTTTTGGTACCTGATGGGGGAAAAGTGGAAGGAGGCACTCCTCTTTTCACACTCAGGAAAACTGATGGTAAAGAAGTTCTCCTGGTTGTCAAGGTCTCCAGTGTTCCCCCTTGGAATTGGGGCTGAGCATAATGTATTGATTCCCTAATACCTCAAAAACCCTTTGGCATTCCAGCTGCCCTTAGTTTAGGAAATGAGAGAGGCAGTGTTTATATAGTGTGAACTTTAAATGTCAAGTTCTAGAAGAAGAGGATATTGAAAAAATAATAAACCCCATAATACTCTTTTCTTTCCATGCATGTTTCTTATGCCGGACCTTTTCTTAAAGATGTACAAGAAATGACAAAGATTCTGAAGACAGTGTTTTTTCCCCCAACCTTTGTATCATGTGGGAGCTTTTCAAATAATACAGGTGCCAAGGCCCCATGTCCCAGAGATTTGATATATTAAGTCTGGAATTGTTAGATCCGGATAATAGTATTTTTGTTTGTTTGTTTTTAAATATTCCCCCAAGTGATTCTGATGCACGGCCAGAGTTGAGAGCCACTGTTCTAAAGTGAGAAGAAACAATATTGCATACTGTCTGTTATGGAGAATTCAACATAGTTTCTTTACAAATCTATTGGTATTTCTGTAGGAAAGAAAATGAGAAATAAAGGCAAGAATTTGTGTTGGACCTTACAAAGAAAATAACTTTTTCTGGTTTTCAGTTAAATGCTGTTAACTGCTAAGGTCTATTTTGTTATTATGGTTAAAATAGTCAAGCAGAGAGATGCATCGTTGAGGTTGAGCAGGGCAAGACCAGAAGCCCAGATGGAAAGAATATATAGAAGACTAGGAAATAAAAGTAATTCTTCCACCTGAAGAATTCTGTCTTCTGATCTTTCATTCCTTACTGTTAAAGCAAAAGAAAGTTCTTCTGATTTAAGTATAAAACTGAATTTAATGTCCAGATGGGTAAGAATCTAAATCTAAATAAACATGTAATTTAAAGTTGTGAGTATATTATTGACCACCTCAATTATGAGAGTCATCCTAGATGAAATGCTTGGAACTCTAAAGCTTAAATGAACCCTTAATTATTTTAATTTTTATTTTTTAATAGTTAAGAGTAGTCTTCCCTATGTGATATTAAAATAGAAGATGAAACTCAGTATTACCATAATTAGAAATATATTGCTTTTGTGTATGTGGTTCAACATTTTCAATTTCCTGTTTCTTAACTTAGAAGTTTACATTTCCTTGTGCTTATTAGGTGCTTTGAAAGTACTTACTGAATTTAATGATCAGTAGGTATTTGTGAAATCAAGAGGGCAACTGAATTGAGCCAGTTATCTGATACAGGACATGTAGGAGCCCTGGAGAATAGAAATACAATGCCTTATATCATTGTGTGTATCTCTTAGTGTCTTGCATATAGTAGATACCTTGTAGATACTTGTTATTGAAGATAGAGCTTTTGCTGCTAAATTTTGCTTAACATCTGCGATCAAGTTGCTTTCCATTCCAGATGGTACGAGTGGCATCTATTTTTCCTGTTTTCCAGCTGCTCCTGCTAAGGCTAAGCCAGCTGAAGCTCCTGCTGCTGCAGCCCCCAAAGCAGAGCCTATGGCAGCAGCAGTTCCTCCTCCCTCTGCAGCAGCCATACCCACTCAGATGCCACCAGTGCCCTCGCCTGCACAACCTCCTGCTAGCAAACCGGGTAAGCCTCTAACTCCCACACGTCTTTATGTGGAAGAAGAACATCTCATCTAGTGTCACGTTCCCTTACGTCTGAGACTAATCATGGCTCTGAACAGGCCCAATTGGCTGCTTTGTAGAGAGAACACTAGACTTTGTATCTGATACCTGGGTTTACATCCTGACTTTCTGTTTACTACCTATGGGACTTTAGGCTAGTTAACCTCTCTCAGCAGATCGTTCATCTGTGAAGTGGGAATATACCACACAACTCAGAGTATCTTGAGGATGAAGTGACAGTACAGTATGAAAGCACTGGCAGATACTCAGTAATATTTTTTTCCTTCTCATGCAGCCGTACCCTGTCTCTTCTTTTTCAGTATCTGCAATAAAACCTACTGCTGCTCCCCCAGTAGCTGACCTAGGAGCTGGCAAAGGTCTCCGTTCAGAACACCGGGTAAGCTTCTGAGGACCACTGTGAGGAGAGAGACGGGGGGCATTGTTGAGATTAGTGGACTGTGTGGTGGTGCCTACCTTTGAATGGCCAGACTCCCTGCAGCTTATTCCCTTGGCCTTAACAGCTTTAATGGCCTCTGGGGGATGTAGGTTGGATTTAATATTCCCAGAATTTAAAAGTTACTTCATGGTGTCAGGATTATCTTCGGACTTGGCAGAATTCTTAAATTCATAGGGTTTTAGAAATTAGGGATTACTCTCTAAATGAGAAACTTTGGGTCAGATCCCGTGTTTGGAGGAAGAAATGATGCACATAATTGAATTCATTGTAGTCATTGAATTCATTCTGTTAATTGATTTCTATCTGTCCGAATAAATAAGAATGTATTTTCCTTCCAGAGATCTCAACTTCAAGAGGTACAAAAGCTTTGACTCTAGGATTATATAGAAAGATGTGGAGACAAGTTAGCTAATCTACAAATAAGATCTTTTCAGCCCCATTTAGGGAGCATCTCTTACGCCAGCCTGTACTAAGTGTTGACTTTTAGGGTTAGTTTTGTTTGACTGCGTACCTCCTGAAATTACTGCTCAAATTATCATCACTGGAATGGTGATTCTTTCTGTTTGTATAGTGACCCCAAAGTAAAGTGCCTTCGTGTTAGATCATTTTGTTTGAAGCACACAGCAAGTATTTCCTGTCTGGAAAACGAGGAAACTGAATTTCAGGAAGTGACTTGTTTGTAGTCACATAACCACTAAATGGTAGTCAGGACTAGAAGCTGAGGTTTTCTGAACCCTGGTCCAGTGGTTTTTCCACTGTATATGCCTTGAGCGAGTGAAATATTTGCAGGAGATGGTAGCTTAGTAGCCTTCCCCATTTCCAAGAGGTGGTTTAGTGAGCTCTATCCTATACTTCCAAGATACTTAGCTGAGGGCTGCACAATAGCAGTAGCTGTCAGGGGCAGACATAAAACCTCAAGGAAGCATGGTCAAGAGTGTGGGTTCCCCTGCCTGATAATATCTCCTAAAAATACAGTAGCCTCCAAACTTCGTTGTTGCCTGTGAGTTTCCTTTGCATGTTTCTCTCCACAAGTAGCTATTTTCATGTAAGTCTTTTTCTATCCCCAGAAATTGCCCTTTCTGCAAGGATTCTTGGGCTGGCTAGACCTAAGCCACACTCTTTCTTTTCATAAATTGGGTTGGGTTGGGTTGGGTTGGGTTTTTGAATCAAACCATTTCCTGGGCCTCCATTCTTGGTCAGACTTCAGGCGCATCTGAGTGAGTGGTTTTTGCCCACGGTTTCTCTTCCTTGCTCAGAGAAGCAAGGCCACCCACCACAGGACAGGAAGCCGTAGCTTTCATTGTATTCATATACTGTGTTCCTGTAGTCCTTGACTGTCCACTCCTGGCAAACTGAATGCTTCCTCTGACTAGATCGGGAATGCTTGATCTGAAGAGACCAGGTTGTCGATACTTGTCCCACTTTCACTTTCAGGAGAAAATGAACAGGATGCGGCAGCGCATTGCTCAGCGTCTGAAAGAGGCCCAGAATACATGTGCAATGCTGACTACTTTCAATGAGGTTGACATGAGGTGAGATCTTTAGTTCCTCCATATTTCCCATGCCCTTTTCCCTTGAAGAACGCTTGAACTTGCCCCGGTTTCTACCTAGTGCTGATTCCAAAACTGACTTGACAGGGAAGAGGTGATTCTTCACGTTGCCTTTTGTTGACTGACACAGAGTGACCCATTGGTTTCGTCCTCTAATTGACTTTTCGAATGCCATGCTTGCCTCCTCTTGACTTAAAAAACTTACTAGCCTTTTAGATTTTTATACGTTGAATCTTTGATAAAATGAGGCTGTTAATAGTTATAAAGTCTGATGAGTAGTGTTAGGGAGTGCCAAGCAGAGAGGGGCAACCAAGCCAACAAGGCTTATCCCCAGGCCTCCGCTTGGGATGGAGTACCACTTGATAGCATGGCCGGAACCAGGGCACTGCTTTCTATTCCTTTCTCAAGGTGACTGCTCGTTATGCTTGTTGGGCAACTCAGAATTGGGTAGGGGAAAGCTGTAGGCTTGTCATAGCTTTCACCTTTCCCAGCTTTGATAATGAAATGAAAACAGGTTGTATTTTTAAATAAGAACCTCAGAATATAAACCAAAGGAACCAATTCAGTATACCCATTTTTGTAGTGAGGTTATTATTGACCCACCTGTTTTCTCCTTTAAGATTTTGATGTGTACAAATATCAGCGCTGCAGGGAAGAGAATGTAGTTAAACTTAACAGACTTTTTTGAGTGCTTTTCGTATTCAAGATACTATAATAGTGAATTCAAGATGAATACAAAGATGAGTGGAAAAGAGCCCTTACTCTCTCAGAGCTTACTGTCTGGTTTGGACAAATACAAAGTAAAATCTAGAAAAGTAAGTATCAGAAGGATAGAACTGAGTATGCAGTGGGGAAGAGAGTGAGATCATTTGTTTTGGGGTGGGGGCAGAGGTGGAGTGGGTAGAATTAGGAAAGACTTGGAGGGGTGAGATTTTAAATAGACCTTAAAGAATGACTAGCATTTTGACAGGTACAGTTGTGGAAAAAGGTCATTCTAGATGATATTAACAGTTTGGACCGTGACATCAGGGCAGGAAAGTACAAGACACATTTGAGAATAGTAAAAGGTCATTCTACTTCAAGGAGTATGTATAGGAAAGAATGGTAAAGAAGGCTGGATCCATATTTCAGGGTGTTTTGAATTCCAGAGTAAGAAGTTTTAAATTTAATTTAGGAGGTAATACATCAAGTGTTCTGGTCATCCTTTGCTTCTTTTTGTCCCGAGTGTTTAGTGTGCTAATCTACTTTTCCCTAGGGAAATTTGTTTTCTTTTGGATGGGGACCTGAAAAGTAGTGAGAATGGAGTGGTTTATTAACCATGTACTGTGGTGTTTTTCACAGAGTAGAGCTCTGTGGCCTATTTCATTAGATTTGGCCCATCCTATTGTGAAGCTTACTAAAGAGACTGGGTGTCATTCAAACCAAAGATTTCTGTCCTGTCCATAGGATGTAGGGAAGGACCTTGCCTAATGGATCAGAAAGGCTGCAGCTTGTGTTTCCATGCATTAGGGCCAAATTGTACACAAATTGAATTAGACTTTGAAATTCTACCCAATTCCTTAATAAGACAAAACATGTAAATATTTGTGGCCTTCAAAGATGCAGTTGGCCCAACAGCGTTGATTGGAAGTTAAGTGCAGTAGCTGGATCTCGTTTCAGTTGCTAATCGAGGTATCACTTAACAGTGGGCTGGGGTCTCAGTGCAGCCCTCACTGCAGATCTAATCTCATTTCGATCGAGTGCCCCTTGGGTCTTGTGCTGATCAGCTAACCCATAAGGGGCCCTTCTGAGACCTCCTCCTCTCCCTCATTGTCCCAGCCCCTGCCTCCAAGGCCAAAGCTCTGAAATAGAAACGACTTAATGACCAGACAATAGCATTTGGGCAGGTTTGAGAGCAGAGATGTTTATCACTTCTCCTTCCCTCTTCTGCAGCTCTTGTGTCTTGGGAACCAGTAATGTCTTTAGGGTGGTAATCCTAGCACTAAATAAGGTTAGACTCAGGAAAACAAACATTTTAAACCCAATCAGTCCCCCCTAGGAAAACTTCCTTTTTCAAAAACAAAAGGTCTGAAGGGGAGAGTTAAAGTTGTACCATCTTATGTTTCGTGCTAATGTCAGGTTAGGCCAATATAGGAAGAAAGGCAGAAGTGAGCGTTTGGGCCTGAGATATGAAGTGAAATTCAATTTCCATCACAGAACTCTATTCCGATAAATACTGAAGTTTCTGTGCAAAATGATGGGAAAGCCATTTCCCCAGACTCTGCAGTGTGTACGTGGAAAAACCAGTTCTGAGACACAAAAGCTCTTCGTGTTCCAAAGGTGTCTCAGCAGACCCTACTGCTTGAACCTTTAAAAGTTTCATCTGAAGGGAGCAGGCCTAGGTCTACACATGGCCACTTTTCTAAATACCCAGGAGATCACATCCACTATACTAATCTTAAGGGCAAGAACTGTGTCTTAATCATCTTTGCGTCTTGGTGTCCAGCATTGACCCTCACTTGTGGTGAGTGTTTGGAACCTGTTTGATGCATAAGCGGATGGAACTGCTAATTCTGGTGAGATGAATGAATTTGCTGACTTTCACATGAGCCTAAAAGGGCATTGGGCCATAACCTTCCACGTACAAGTAGTCCCTGACTTACGACATACTCGAGTTGCAACGAACTGCACTTACAACCGTCCGGGGTTTTTTTTTTGGTACATCTTATTGTTAGTAATATGTACTACATACAGTGTTACAGTGTAATTTGCTGTTGCCATCATATCTGTATGTTTATGTGTAATGTTTCCAACCTCCAAAGACAAATAAAGATTAAATTTACAAAGATACTTAATAATAAAATAGAATAATAATGAAAACTAAAAAAAAAAAATGAGGCACTGACTTACGATGGGGTTGTCGAAACAGAGCCCCATCATAAGTCGAGGACTACCTATAGAGTCATGACTGCTTTTGCTCATGTGGGGCCAGTACACCCATGGCTTTTTGTCTCCGCTAATCAAGAGAAATTCAGTATTGAATATACTATGGACTGCCAAAATATTGAACAAACCTGTCTTGGAAGAAATACAGCCAAAATGCTCCTTAGAAGCGAGGATGATGAGACTGTGTCTCACATACTTTGGATATGTTGTTAGGAGGAATCAGTTCCTAGAGAAGGACATCATACTTGGTAAAGTAGAGGGTGAGCGAAAAAGAGGAAGACCTCAACAAGATGGATTGACACAGTGGCTGCAACATTGGGCTCAAGCGTAACAGCGATTGTGAGGATGGCGCAGGACCAGGCAGTGTTTCGTTCTGTTGTACGTAGGGTTGCTTTGAGTCGGAACCGACTCAACAGCACCTGACAACAACAACAAATCAAGAGATAGCAGGTATGTCATAAGTCATAATCAGGTTTGGTGGTGTTTTGAAAATAATTCTAAAAAGAAATAAGAATATTGCTTATTTTGTGGACTTTGTGCTTCAAAAAACTTTTTTTCAGGGTAAATAGCTCATGATTTTGAAGTCCCTGGATGGCACAAATGGGTAAGCGCTTGACTACTGACTGAAAGGTTGGTAGTTAGAACCCCCCCAAAGGGGCCTCAGAAGACAGGCCTGGCAGCCTGCTTCCAAAAGGTCACAGCCTTGAAGACCCTATGGAGCAGTTCTGTCCTGCACACATGGGCTGGCCATGAGTCGGAATCAACTTGACGACAGCTAACAACAACAACAATAGCTGGTGATTTTAGTGTAGCTAAAAATCACTTTCTGGTCTAGGGCAAAAATGTTGGTGCGCTGTGTGATCTTTTGTTATCTGCCACTGAAATCTGTGATTCTGGAACATGAAGGAGCCCCGTAAGGGCCCAGCTCAGCATAAAGACAGATTGGAACTAATTCCTTTATATCCATTTTTTGTAAAACAAACAAAAAGAACAAGGTTATTGTGTTGACTTGTGGTGATCTGTTTCAAAACTCGAACTTGGGTAGATGGCCCTGAGTAAGGGAAAAGCTTGCCCAGTTGTGTACAGGGAGTTAAAAACTGGTTTGAAAGTCAAAATCACAGCTTCATTTGTAGTCAGTTGGTTTTGTAATGTGTCTTTGCAGTAACATCCAGGAGATGAGGGCTCGGCACAGAGATGCTTTTCTGAAGAAACATAACCTCAAACTAGGTTTCATGTCAGCATTTGTGAAGGCCTCGGCCTATGCCTTGCAGGAACAGCCTGTTGTAAATGCAGGTGAGTTGGCTGTGGCCAGAATCACAGAGGTCCTGGGAGGTACGTGTATGAACACAGACTTGTCTCCAACACACAGACATCAAGATATGGGGGTCAGCGGGCTGAGGCTTTTTATTTCATTCCTCTGAAGCCATGAGTGTCTTTTCTAGCGATCTCTTGATTCGCCTTCATTTTTGGTTTCCCGGAATAGCATCATGATTACTTTCTCCCCACTAGCAAGAGAGAACAGTTCCTCTCCCAGTGTATAGCTCGGCAGCTGCTCTGGCAGCAGGCAGTGCTGGGGCAGCCTAGCTCTCCAGGCTGTCTCATGTCAGGGTGGAAGCTCCCATCCCAGCTGGCACGCCACTCCCATAGGCCGTGTTATCTTGGGGCCCGACTTCCACACTTGGCACAGACTCCAGGGTGACCTTTGATCTCTGGTCGATAGGCCTCATCAGGAGGCCTTGGGCTTGGCCCCTCTTTCATGGATTTGATGCTTGCTTTCGTTCCTTTTTTTTCATCTACATCATAGAAGTGTTGACTTAACAAGCTGTTCTCTTTTTCCTAATGAAACACTTCTTTGTTCCCTCGAAGATTAGAGCAGGACAATGACAGTTTGCAACCCCCAGCAGTGCCAGGGTTCTTAAAGATCTAGAAATAGAAACCCTAGTCCCTTCCATTGAGTAGTGCGCTCTAGGTAGGTAGAAGGGCTGTCTTTGTTTTGCTCAAATGTGTACCTCTTTCTGATTCTTCCTTCTTCTCATGGCTTCCTAATTGGCACTCTCTCTGTCTCTATTGGCTCCCTTTTTCTGCCTGTCCATGCATGTAGGCATTTCCTAAAGTTCTCTTGGTCTCTTTCTCAACGTCACATGCTTTTCTTTGGTGTTTTATCTAATAGAGCTTAGACTTTCTTTGTGTATAAAGATTCCCAGTTTATTAGCCTTTACATTTTTAGCTGCTGGTTTGTTACCTAAAGCTGGCCTATCTATAAAGCCAGCCCACCCTGCTTCCTCCTGAATCTCCTGGAAAGAGACTGTCCTTCCCCTGGTTCAGAGTGGGAAGCAGAATGGGCAGCATCTTCCTCCCCGCCCCCTTTCCTTTGCTCATTTGCCTTTTCTGGAGCACCTCTGAAACCTAGCCCTTCTCTGCTAAGGGAGAGTTTGAGCAGAGCTAGTTAATAAGAACTTAGTGTGTCCCTATCCTGTGTAAGCCAGTGTACTGAGTTTTTCTGATTCTTCTGAGGTCAGAAGCCAGGGGTCTTGGGAGATCTTCTGATTGGTTATATGGGTGTAAGAGGAGTGCAAACTACCATTTACAGTGCCCTGGTTTTCACATTGGTTGGCCAGCCCACACCGTAGTAAGCACTGCAGATTGTCTTTTTACTCTTTTAATGCAGATATTACTTCATTAGCCAGCCCTGGGGGGGTTGTAAGTAACATGTGTTTTCTTTCTCATAGTGATTGACGATACGGCCAAAGAGGTGGTGTATAGGGATTATATTGACATCAGTGTTGCAGTGGCCACCCCACGGGTATGTTGGAGCAGGAGTGGGGAGCTCTGGGCTTGAACCCTCACCTTATCTGGGTGAGGAAACAGACCCCTAGGAGAGATCACTTCTGTAACTGTCTTTTTAGAAGGGAGCTCATAAAAGAGTAACCTGTTTTTGACCTTACCACATTCTTTGATGTTAGCCTCAGACCTAAATATTTTAGACTTTCTATTTAATCACATTGAGTAATTGAGGTATTTGGGGAGGGGAGAGCATTGGCTTAGATCAAGGAAATTGTATCTATGGAAGGTACTGTTTACAACTGAGACCAGCTTTTCACTCCCTTCAGGGTCTGGTGGTTCCTGTCATCAGGAATGTGGAAGCTATGAATTTTGCAGATATTGAGCGAACCATCAGTGAACTGGGAGAGAAGGTAAAGTATAAAGACACACACGTATGAGCTGCTGGGCAGGTCAGGGAAGAGAGCAGGGGGAGGCTGGGCTCACTAGTAAGCAGTGCCCAGGAAGCTGGAGTTTGACTTTGCTTCATCAGAAGTACATAGCGCCTGAGAAAGGTGAAGTAAAGATACCTGGTGGCCCAGTTGGCTTAATATGTCACTTATGAAATCTCTGTTTTTAGGCCCGAAAGAATGAACTTGCCATTGAAGATATGGATGGCGGCACTTTCACCATTAGCAATGGAGGCGTTTTTGGCTCGCTCTTTGGAACACCCATTATCAACCCCCCTCAGTCTGCCATCCTGGGCATGCATGGCATCTTTGATAGGCCAGTGGCCGTAGGAGGCAAGGTAGGAACTCTTAATCTCTGAGGTTCTAGCTGCTGGGTGATGATGAGACGGGGATGTAATCTAAATGGTAATTACAAAGGATTCACTATAATTTCAGTTCCATTTCTTGGTTTCTTATTAATAGCTAAGACATGGGCTCTCAAAATGTGGTCTGTGCATCAGCATCATCAGCATTACCTGGGTACTTATTAGAAACACAGATTCTTGGACCCCACCCCAGATCTACTGAATCAGAAACTGTAGGTGATTCTGCTGCATGTGGGAGTATGAGAACCATTGAGCTCAGAAGGCTCGTTCCCTCATCTGGAATCAGTCAGCGACTATCCATTGAAGGCAGTTGGTTAACTCTAGGTGCCGTAGGGGGTGAGGGCACAGTTGGAGACATGATTCTTGTCCCTGGGAAGCAGAGGACCACAATGCAGAGCAGTAGATGAGCTGCCTCATTGTAGGATAAGACAGAAGTTCTCCAGGAGATCAGAGACTCAGATCTGAGGGGCCTGAGCTGCCCTTGGAAGTCGGTAAGGAAAAGCTTTCTGGGACTCCTGTGTTAAGACCTTTTCTGGGCTCTCATGGGGCAGTTCTACTCTGTCCTGTAGGGTCACTATGAGTTGGAATCGACTTGATGGCAACAGGTTGGGTTTTGGGTTTTTGTACCTCCCCTGTGAATCTGAAAACTATGGCTCTTCTCTCCTGAAAATGCCCACATACCCAACTTTGCATACAATTTCAGAGGATTTGTGGACCCCAGGTTAAAAGCAAACAATGTAAATTATAAACTCAAAGATGTAGCTCCAAGCGGCCAGAACTGAAGGGAAGACCGTCCCTGTAGACCACATGAGAAAGAGGACAGAGTATGTAAGAAGTCAGTAGTGAGGGGCTCCTGTTTTCTTGGTTAAGCTTTATTTCTGAGTTGAGGAGCTTTGCATTAAGGGTAAGGCTTGGTGTTTGAAAATATTGTAATTATTCAGAAGTGACTTCAATAGCAAAGACTCTGGAACTGGGAACTTACCTATGGGTTATGCTCTCATCTTCCTCCATCAGCAAGGCTTTCTCTGACTTGTAGATAAGCTATTGACCTCTCCTTTCTGCAGTTGGAGGTGCGGCCCATGATGTATGTGGCACTGACCTACGACCACCGGCTGATCGATGGCAGAGAGGCAGTGACTTTCCTCCGCAAAATCAAGGCAGCGGTAGAGGATCCCAGAGTCCTCCTACTGGATCTTTAGGAAGAAGCCACACGCCCTCCAAATTGACCATGCAGGAACTGAAAACCAGTCTTCTCCCTGTCCCCTCACGGGCCCTGGGTTAGCCTGGTGGCAGGCAGGCACATGCTGTTGGCCTCAAGCAAGGAAGCCAGGGCACTATGTAACCAGCAGTCGCAGGTCTTTTCTTGGTGTTCCTGCCAGGCTCTCTCCCTCTCTGCACTCTTCTCTTATGCTCGAATACCTTATTTCCTTAGGCTTGAGAGAGAGAGAGAGTCTTAAAGGACTTTCATTAATATTCCTGCCTCTCTTCCATCAGCTCTCCACAGAGATGATTTTGCTTCTCCCCGGTGCCATTATGTAATAGGGAAATCACTGGGACGATGTGATTCTTCAGTTTCTATCTTGTGAAAGTCCACTCTCCAGAGACATGCCTAGGGCGCTGCCCAGTCTCCCAAGCTCAGAGCAGCCTCTGTCCCGGCTGTGCGCATCCTCACTAGATTCCACCTGTGTGAGGCATTGAACACGGGGAGAGATGCTGCTTTGCTTCTTAAATGGCACCTTCATTCTCAGCTTTCATTGACTTCAAGATACCTCTTCTACCTCTTCCAGGAAGCACAGGCCAGGGGATCTAGGTTGGAGAGGGAGGACGAGAGGGCATATTCCTCCTGAGGTTGTGTGTTGTAAACATAGACGGTAGAGGAACCCGGACCTGCCCTCATACTCGTCATAGCCTTGCACCAGGAAGACACATTTTGGCACAACTACACACAGCTGTGTTAGTGCCGGCCCTTTCCAGACCCTTTCTATGCTGCTGGAAACCATTCTAGCACATTGTCCTCATGTAGAGCAGATTCCAGCACATCATGGCAGTGAGACAGAGCATGGTCACAACCAAGGGCTGAAGCCTGGTAGAGATTGGCATGGAGGTGGGGGGTTCTGTGGACTGGCTCAGATTGATTTGAGCTTTTAAATTCAAGCTGGTACAGGCACGTGGGTTTCAGGCAGTTCTGTTCCTTCCTGCACTGGGGCCTTTAGGGAGCACGGCGTTAGCAGCTCTTCCTCTGCAGGACACATCTGGGGAGAGGATGGACTGTGATGGAAACCAGCCCCAAGATGTGGTGAAATGGCTGATGTCTTCTCTGAGGGTACTGCCCACTGGGTCTGGGCATAGTCATCGGAATTCCTCGGAGTACGGTTAAATGTATCTTGTGAAAGCTACTGGGTTTCATTGCTTTGTATCCAACCGCATCCAGGTCTGAGGCTGCTGACACTTGACACCTGGGGGCCGTTTATTTAGTGCAGAGTGCCCACTTGTATCTTGAGTGAAGAAGCAGGGCCTGGGGGAGGGGGGAAGGGGCAGGAGCAATACTGAGTGCCTGCAGCATCTACTATGTCTTCACTATTCAGAACTTGTAACTAAAATATTTAAAGAAACCAGTTTTAAATGGAAATTAAAGGGCAGATGTTCTCAAACGGGGTTCCTGTTTCTGGGCTCCTCTTGGTTACTACAGTTGTACAGGTCTCCAGCACTGTTACATGGATAGCTGTCATTAGCATTGAAAGCCACTTAATGTCCCATTGATGATCCTGTGATATCGTGTACTTTTGAAGTGTTAACACCGTACCAATCTGACAGAAGGTGGAACCCCAACTGTGTCTTCCTAGCCAGGAAAGCACAAGAGTCTTTGAGTACCTCAGCTTCCTGCTCGTTGGCTCCTCAAACTTGTCAAGCCCCATCCTTGAGAAATTGGGGTTCCACCTTTGTGAAGCCTCTTCAAAACACCACTTTTGTGGGAGCTTGCATTATTTCAGGGAGGGATTGGGGAGAGGAGAGGGCACCTCGTATAGTATCTTGGATTTGACTGCCACATGTGCACCAAGATGCTCAAGGTCAGTAAGGACAAACGAAGGTGGATCACCTAGGAGCAGTGGTCTGTGCAGGTGAGTGGTCAGGGCTGATAGCCAACCCAGACTGACTGCAAATGACGGGTGAGATGGTGCCCTGGCTTAAACACAGCTTTTTCTCCTTCCCACATTTACGGTTTGCCGATCTTGCCTGCAGTGAGGCCATTCCTATACAAAGGTCTATCACAGGAAGAAAGTGAGTCCCCTAGAGTAGAACTAGAGCTGGCAGGTAGGAAAAAAAAAGGGATTCAGTGAAAGGATTTCTTCAGTTAACCTACAAAGTAGGTATTTTATCGAAAGTAAGTCAACTGTAAGCCCCATAAGATTAAGCCCAGGGCTTAGCAGAGTGCCAGATGTGCAGTGTTTGTTGGATGAATAGATGATTGAGGCTCAGGTTCATGACCCAAACCACTTCGTGAGGTGGTTGAAGACATCGGACAGTAGCAAGAGGCATACAGACTTGTGAACCAGCTCCACTAGGCTGTCAACAGTCCTATCATTTCACTTCTTTGAGCTTCAGTTTTCTCAGATCTGTCTCAGTGAGTCACTGTGGGGGTTAAACTAGTTTTTCACCCCACCCCCACCCCGCACCTTGACCGTCCTCCAAGACTTCCTTCTTCTTTATTTCCCATTGCACCTTACAGGCCGCCACTTCCCTTCAGGCCAGAGGCTGCTCTGCTGGGGGTGCAGGCTGACATGCCCTTTACCCAGCACTGCTTCATACTTCCTAGTAGGCCCCAAGCTCCCGTATGCCTATAACAAGATTCTCTGGGGGACCCTTCCAACCGCCCCCCTTCCTGCAGAGCCGCTGTCTGGTCACGTTAATGAGTCAAGGACACCACAGACAATGGAAGGTTTTATTTTGGGGGGGAGGATGGGGGCAGGCAAGCCAGGACCAAGGAGCACAGAGAATCATACACAGATGCACTCTCCTGTGTCCTCTGCCCCTGAGGAATGCAGTGGCCTCCCCACAAGTCTCTCCTGAGTATAGTTGGGCCTTCAAAGCCAGACTAGAGAACAGTGTTAGGTGCCACCTAGTGGTGCCCTGGCACTGAAGGGAAGGAGCTGGGCTTTTTGTCTTAGGTGCCATGCTACTAGTGATGGGGAGTCACTGGGAGAGGAGGTGAGCTGAATAAAAGCCCCCAAACCTGGGGGATTGTCTTTGGGTAACTAACTCCCAGCTCTTCAGAGACTGGAACCATCTTGCTTCTGGCTAAAAGCTTGGGCAGTCCTGCCTTGCCTTTTGTGGTTTCTCATTTCAAAGGGGGATAAAGTAAGAGTGGGCAGTGAAGTGAGTGGAACCTCAAAACCAAAACGCAAAGAGTAAACAGAAGGAATGCCCCAGAGGGGAATCATTACGGGCACAGCTGGTCTTAGCTGCCTTAACTGGAGGCTGAGGTGCAGTCTCCTCTTGGACCCATGGGGCAGGCCCCTCTTTGTCCTTATAGCGTGGGCCAGCTGGGAGAGGGAGCTCTTTATGCTGTTTCGTGTTTGCTCTAAGTAGCAGAGCTGTGCACTCCTCCCTCCCATTCCTCATCCTCATCTGTTATTTTCCTCTCCCTGCCCCTTCCTTTTGCTCTTCAAAGTCTGAAATCACATGATGGGGAACCTAGTCAGGAGTGGGGAGTGGATCTCCCTATCTGCACCTTGCTCCCATGCACACTGCAAATTCTCTGCTTCCCCAGCCCCCACAGGAAGCGCCTCTGGCAGAAGAGGCTCACTGGTTGCATGGCTAAGATGACAGCCAGAAGGGTCCACTGAGCGAGTAGACCAGCATCCTGAGACGAGTCTCCAGCCATGTCCCGATTGGGGCACACCTGGTGGATAAGTGAGTCCCAGAACCTCATGGCAGGCTCAGCAAGTGGTCGATAGTTAGAGCCAGTGCGACAGTAGGCACCTTTTAACGTGCCTAGCAAGGGGCCTGGCGCAGGCATGTGCTCAGCAGGCATCTGTTCACTGTGGGTGGAAGGGGTCTCAGTTGCTTAGGGAGTGGGTGGTCCCTGCCCCTCCTCCTCGGGCATGAGGAGAAAGGGCTCCAGGAGCTGGCTGGGAGACTCCCAAGTCACTTCTTGGGCGGTAGCCCCAAAGAAAAGGCCTGGAGATAATTCTGAGGCCCAGGGGAGGGGCTGAGTAGGAAAGGCGCAGCCCCACATTGTGCGCCTGAGTCCCAGTGATTAGAGAAGCCAGCTGGGTGACAGGCGGAGAGAAGAGGAGGTCGAGACCAGGTCTGCTGCTTCCTTTGCCCTCTCCATCCCTCCTAGCCCGCCAGTTTGTTCCACTGGATAGTACTGAAAAAGGGGTGGGACTTGAGTTTGCTGACACCACCGCCTCCAGCGCCCAAGCGCTGGCTCGGATCAAACTGCAGCAGCTGCAGAGAAAGGCCTGGTTAGCACTCTGGTCGGCCCTTACCCTACTGCCACTTCCCAAGGCATGGGCTGACCTCCGGGGACTTAATACCACCATGGTTCCAGTAGCGGCTCACTCCCTGCTAGCCCCGGCCCACAGAGCCCCCAGTTTTATTCTGAGGAACAGTTGGTGTCGCTTGGCCACCAACATATAGAAAAACAGTCCCTGCACCTTTCTGTACCCACATGAGATCTAGTATGCAGGGCAGCCTGTCCACACACAGGGCTTTGCCTTCCCAGAACCCACTCCTCAGCCCAAGAAGCCACCACTTCTAGGCTGGCTGCACCTCACCTCAGTCAGCAGGGAGGCCGCAGGGTGGCTGATCCACTCAGGCAGCTGGAGCTGGGTGTGGGCCTGGATCCCTGAGGGGTGGCTCTGGGACAGTGCCTGGGAAGACACGGGGAGGGCCTCTGAGAAGGCAACCCAGCATTGCCTGTACACTCGTGCACTCCAGTGGCAGCCAAGATTTTACTTCTTCCCATGTCACCTCCCCTGGAGATGATGATAGTAATGATGTTGAAGTGGCCTTTTGCTTAGGATCTTCTGTATGCCAGACACTGTGCTAGGTGTGTGACATACATTATCCTTCATTTCCACAGCAACCTTCAAGGTAAGTATTAGTACTCTCATTTTAAAGAAGTGGGCCCAGAGAGGTAAAGGGACTGTGTAGAGGTGAGGGTCTGAACCCAGGCCCCTCTGGCTCCAAGCTTGCTGGAAGCACCAATCCTGGGGTGCAAACAGGGAACATCATGGGAATCTGTCTCCTTAATGGAAAAGAAATCTCCATGGGCTACACATGTGACAGCAGTCCGTGGCATGCCACCGTCAGGGAGGGTGAAGGGAAGGCTATGGCGGGAAGAAAGCAGAACCTCTCTGCGCCTCAGAAAGGTGCAGCTTTGCGGGGCAGAGAGTTCTGTCTGGAGATAAAGGTGAGCTACAAGAAATTTCCATGAGGAAGGCCAGGAACTCTGAGCCAGAGAGTGAGAGAACCACCCTGTGGGGATATTTGCATCCAGGGCTCTCAGAGGTCCTGGGCTATGGGATGAAAGCAGTCACTCCAGGAGGGAGTTAGGATAGACTGGTCAGATCTGGACTTCAGGTTACTCTGCTTCATTCTGGCCATTTCCTGCTCAAATGCAGCTTGGCCTCTCCCTTGCTGCTTAATGTAACCAGCCCCAGGTGCTGTGCTGAGCTCAGGTGGGGAAGGACAGAGAGCTGAGAGCACCATCCTGAGCAAGGCGGGTTTGCAGGCGGAACCATGAGCTCTCTGTGGACCCAGGCTGGGCGGGGCAGCTGCTGGCCCCTCTCCTCCATCCTCCAACCAATGCCTGCGGTTACAGCCCCAAAGGGCATGGGTGGGAAGAGTTAGCAGTACGGAGAGGAGACTGGGGGGGATGAGAAGGCTGTGTCAAATTCCACCCTCTAAGCCTAGCCCCAGGCCAACTCTTCCAGAAACTTCCTGACCATCCCAACTCCAACTCGAGTCTCTTTCACGTAAGTTTGACGGTCTCATTAGCTAGTAGTAGTGTGTGTGGGTGGGGGGTGGGGTGGTGGTGGTGGTACTGAGCATGGTCAGGGTTGGGTGACTTCCTGTCTCTCTCATGGCCTATGGGGGTGGCAGTGGGGGAGGGCAGCTGTGCTGGTAGGACATCCAGTCCAGTAGCCAGGCAGCCTCAGCCCTGACACCAGCTTGCCCTCAGTGGCACTCACTTGGCTCTCCACGCTGCCCAGCAACTTACCATTCCTGTCAGCAATTCATATAGCAGAGACCCAAAGCTCCACCAGTCACAGGCTTCAGTCAGCTCAGAAATCCCACCCACTTCTGCGGGAACAAGAACACAACTGCATATGTTTCAGCCTCACCCAAGAAGGTGGGTGCGTCTCCATTCTACACATCCTGCCCAGTCACCCACCGTGTCTCTCTGCCATCCTCAGCCCCTAGCCCAACCCACACAAAGGCACCCAAGATCCAGGGGCCACTCCTGCCCCCAATCTTGCCTGGAGCACTGTAGAGGTTGTCCGCAGCCTCCCTGCAGCACTGGGGCTCCACTTCAGACCACTGGCCAAAATATGTGAGCCGGATGTGACCTTGTCCAGTGTGGGAGGCAAGAAACAAGGGGGAGCAAGAATTGAGGTTAGCCATGATTGAGCTTCTGGCATGGGGGAGCAGGGTTCCAGGGCTCCCTCTAAACCAGTCACAAGGCAGGGCCCCCCACCCCCACCCCCCATCCCATGGGCATGCATGGCCCTGTGAGGCCCAGAGACCCTCGGGCATTCCTAGGGGCTGCTGCCCTAGACTCATGAGGACAGAGGGACTTGTCCTACAAGCTCGAACTTGGCCAACCAGCCTCTGGCCTAGAGTCCTGTGTCAAATGGCTGGATGGAGACAGAGGGCCAAGCAGATAACCTCTGAGGTCCCCTTGGCTGAGGGGTGGGGTAGGGTGAGACGGCCTACTGCCCCACCCCCCAGGCACCTACCTGCCTGGTCCAGGAGCAGGTTCCGGGGATTGAGGTCCCGGCATAGCACCCCCTGCTCGTGCAGCGCCTCCAGTGCCACCAGCATCTCGGCTGCCCACTGCTTCACCTGCTCCTCCCTCACCCTCCAGGTGCCCCTGCCAGACCCCAGACTGGCCTCAACCGTTGAGGGGCAGCTTGGAACTCTGCCTCGGTCGCAGCCCCCCAGCACCCGGCCAGCCCCCTCGTGAACCCAAGGGAGCCCCCGAGGGGGCCTGGCGTCCAATCTCTGGCCAGGTTCCCGCCTGGCTTGGAGATGCGGGCAGCCACTCAAGGCCTTTGGCAGGTCCAAGGAGTGGGAAGCGCTGGTCTTGGCTGTGGGTTCGCCTTCTGCCTCTCTCTGGGGTCCGATGGAGGAGGCTTCCCTGGCTGGGGGAAGGCTCTGAGAAGTCCTTGGAAGTCCCAGGAGCACTCTGTCCTGCCAGTAGGGGCGGCCTGGGGGGTGCAGCACTGGGCTCAGGAGGCTGAGGTGGGAGTCGAGCTGAGCCTTCTTCCTTTCTTGGGTAGAGCCAGACTCGAG